CAGCTGAATATTGAGATAATCAGACGGTAGATCGTTTAAGATATTACAAATGGTAATATAGATGGTTTCACTGGCAAAGGTACAGTGGTAACCACAGAACAGTGATCACCAAGGCCTCAAATTCGATTGATCACTCAAATGCGATGAATCACTGCTCAATTCTTTTTTGAATTTTCCTGGTTGCACCTCGACGAATTTCGATACAGTAGCTTGACCGACGTACTTCCAGCTTCCACATAGAATTTCATGAATTGCGCCTATTGGAGCACCGTGTGAAACCAACATTAACGTTTTGCCTGTAAGATTAGGCTAAATTTAAAAAATTCTCACACTTTGCAGTGGCTGTATGGAATCGGCAATCAAAAATCTGTTAACATTTGTTAAGACTGATAAATTCGGAGAAGTCTAAAGACAGTTTTAAAAAAAAGTTCCACTTAAACAAACGGGAATTGCGATAAGCATTACCGGGATATCGTTGCGCTAGACCGTCTAAAGTTTTTGCCACGCGTCCAGTACATGCATCGTCACCGTAACCCTCACGTGGTAATTTCCACGGCATAACTGATTTATACGATGTGTCGATGAGTGGATATTTTTGCTTCAAAACTTCAAGACTTTCGTAGCCTGGAGGATCCTCGCACATGTACAGGCCCTGAAGTGGTGCAGTGTTTCTTATGAAAGATTTCCATGGAACCAAATTGCTCAGATTTGAATAATATTCGGATTTTTCACGCGGAAATCCTCGAGTTGGAATTCAGCTAATTATATGAAAGATGAACCTCCACCAGTCCTGGTTCCACTTCTATCGGAATATTACGATTTTTCAGAATCCTCGTCGCTGTTTCGAGAGTTCGATCAAACGGTGACACAATGACATGATCCAAATCAATATTTTCGAAACGTTTAGCGGTCTCGTCAGCTTGCTCTTCAATTAATACTCTTCAGTAATGAAATCATTACCTTCGGGTGATGGATTCGATTCAAAGAATGTTTATGTCACGAACATTCTTCAAGAATGAAGAGTTTTTTTAGAGATTTTTAAGGA